TTATGGTCATTCGTCGCGGCCTAGGGCAGGCCTCCCAATCAATCTCGGCGGCTACAGGGACCACAGGCCACTGGAGACACGTGCACACGCAAGTGCCAGGACCCCTCCCGCGCGGCCAGTGGGCCGTGTCAGGTGGCGGAGAGAGGTCTTGCTGGCCGATCTCTCGGCAGCTCTGCAAGCAGAGAACGACGAAGACAACGCCGTGCAGCTTCCCCGACGCCTACTTCAGTTTCGTGCCAAAGTACGGGAGGGTACCGGAGGCGAAGGGGCTGCATGAGGACTGGTCAGACATATGTGGCGCGGGGAAGCGGTTCGAGCCCCCGTCGGTGTACGTTGACGAGATGGCTGGAGTGATCATAGACGCGGCGCTTCAGGATTATGCATCGCCGCCGGAGAAGGGTGAGAGAGCGGTTACAGTGTTCAGCGAGCCCACGGTGAAGCTGATCAAGAGCAAGCAGTACTGGCAGAGGCAGCTGGCAGCCATACCAGATGGATCGAGGTGGCTGAAGCATCAGCTCCAGCAGCAGTTCGACGTGGCGGCGAAGGCGGCGACGGCCGCGATCAGGGGCGAGAGGAGACAGAAGACGCTGGCGCTGGCAGAAGTGGCCGAGCGAGCAGGTGAGCTACGGAGACTCCATGCGATCGTCAATAAGATGGCCCCGACGCCTGCAGCCCCCATCAATGCGGTGAGTGACCCGAGCACGGGGCTGCCATGCTTCGACTCAGAAGATGATCGGCGGGTGCGAGTCCTGGGCATATGTGAAGTAAGCGATGGGCAAGCGATGAGGCTCGACGAAGTTCCTCCACGTGCTGGCAGGGCGGGCAGGGACGATTGCAGGATTGGCCCATGCGACATCGACGAAGGAAGGAAGAGCATCATGGAGCTGCCGAACATGAGGGGAGGGCCAACGCTGCAGTGGCCACAGGGTGGGCCACCAGAGGGAGCGGTGACCGAGGCGTGAAGCTGGTGGTCGACACGGTGGCGCTCCCGGTGCATCAGGTCTTCAACGCGGCGCAGGCGCGGGGCGAGGCACCGCAGAGATTCAAGGACGGGGAGGCGATGCAGCTGAGGAAGCCCAAGGGGGACGGCAGCTCGGCAGTGAAGGACTGCAGAACAATCAATTTGATAAACCATGTCGGGAAGGCATATGCTAGAGTGACGAAGTTGGGCGCGATGCGCGATGTGGCCCACAGGATCTCGCCGACTCGGTCTGGGGCGATGCCAGGGCGTGGGGCACGCGATGCCGTGGCGGTGGCAGGAGATCTTATTGTGCGACATCAGAGGGCCCATCGTACTAATCAGAGGGGAAGCTCATCGACCCCGCCGCCGATGCTAGTCACGGTGCTGACAGACATTGAGAATGCGTGCTTGACGGACCTTCAGGTAAGGTGGGATGCCAGGGGAACGATCGAGGAGCTGCATGAAGGCATGTGTTACGTGTAATGGATACGAATACACACAAGCCTACTGACAGGATATGGGTCAAGCGAGGGGTGCGCCAAGGAGGAGTTGAGAGTCCGAGCCTCTTTGTCACAGTCTACGACGGGCTCGTGGGGAAGATCGCGGAGCAGTTAAGGTACAACAAGTTCGCGGCCATCAAGGTGTACTTCGACCCGAGGCTCAAGAAGATCAGGTGCAATGACGGCTTGGAGGCGAATTCGTGCGAGTGCCTGGACGTGACACAGCTGAAGTATCTGGATGACCTGCTCACGGTCGCAAAGGTCGATGAGTTCGATGACGCGTCCAATGTCTTGGAGATTGCGACGGGAGAAATCCAATTCGGGGGAATGAGTGTCAAAAGGAAGAAGATCGAGCTCCTCCTCACGCCGGCGGGGGTGGGAAGCAAGAAGAGGCTGAAGCGGATAAGGGCACGTACTACGGGCATCGTGGCAAGGGAAGATGACGACAGTTTCCCCCTGCACCCCCAGGCGACGGTGGGTATCTTGGGGTGCAGTTGGCAGCGGAGGGGACCCACCAGGCTGAGTTCACAAGCTGGATCAAGGCTGCCAATGCCACGCGCGCGTGCCTACAACGCCGAGCGTTCAAGAGTGGCTTCAGATCCCAGCGGAAGATCGGACTATGGAAGGCCTCGGTACGGTCGGTGCGCTTCTATTGCTTGGAGGTCGCCATTCTCACCGAGAGGGAGATGCATAAGCTCGCGAGCTGGCAGGTACGCAAATTACGTGGCTTGCTGAACACGCCAACCCGCCTCTACAAGAAGACAATTTGGGAGATCAGAAGGGCGGCCAAGAAGCCGACGGTGATGAGCACGCTGCTGCTGAGGCGACTACGCTGGTGGAGATAGGTGCTATGACCCGCTTTCCCTGAGCCGAGTGAGGATATGCACGACCCGACGCTGGCGGTCAGGGCAGTCGTGTTCGGGCGGCTTTCGTTCGATATGACGGGGCACAAGGAGCAGTCGGGCATGCTGGCGCTGCTAAAGGATGGCATGCGCCACTTCTGGTCGTCGGTGGTCTCACAGGAGCAGGGTGAAGCCCGCCGCCTGTTTCTTCTCCATGAAGACCTACCTGAACTGACTGAGCCGTGGCTGCGCTGGTTTGCTTCTGTGGAGCCGC